AAAAAACTACCAAGTGGCGCAACCAGTTCGCTTCACGATAATTCGTGCTTTCTTTTAGCCATGAACCTACATGCCTTACGTCTCCCAATCTCAAATTCCTCCTCCTAGTTATTCCCCTTCGCGATCGTAAACGGCACAGGGAAGTGGCTCGCTCTTTCGAGTGCAGTCAGTACCCAAACTGCGCCCGCGAGGTGCGAACCTTAGAAAGGCCTCCTGCAGAGTGAAGCAGCGTTTCCACGACGCGCTGCGATCAAAATTGTGCTCTTGACGCCATTTTCCATGAGCGTCACTCCTTGGGTGTCGCCGTATAAAGGAGGTTCCACAATTTCGGCATTCCACTGGTAACAAGCGACCGCTCGCCCAATCCCGATTAGTAAGGATGGGTTGCTTGCTATTTGCCGAGCAACAAACATTCGGTAGTCGCCTTACTCGCAGTTATCAGTCTTTTGAACATCAAAGGAAGCAAACATTCGCCGAGCGCCTCGGTTATTCGGGATTGGGCAAGTGGTAGCTCGCTACTCGCCAAATGTGTGGTGCCACCGTAACAGACGCGTTGCAATGAGGGAGGGGAGTCAACATCGGATCACATTTTACCTCTTTGTTAAGTAAGGAGTTATTGTTTCACATTTTATGACTTGTCATTTAAAACTTTCTCAACCATTAGTGATACCGGGTGGATATTTTATCGTTCGCCGAAGATTCGGGCCGCGTCGTCCCGGCAGTCGAGGGCTCGCCCAGCGATGCGCTGACTCACCTCCTGTGCTGAGATATGGGAACTATTGCTGCGCTTAACTTTCCTGAAAGAAGATGCTGAAAATGGTGTCCTTCGGCTCGAATGCATTCTTGTCACCTCCGAACATATTCTTATTTACCTTTTAAAGTAAGTCTCGAGTAATTGCTGCCTTTTTCTCTCCAATAGACCGCCGGAGCTCTTCCTCCGAATGAAGGTTTATTGCGTACACATGATCTTTCAAGTACTATAGAGCATTTATTCGGGTGTCAATTGTTCGAATAATAATGTCAATATCTGATTTAAATAAATATAACTTGTGACGGCGGTGTTGAAAAAACTAGGCCCTACAATTCTTGTGAAACTCAACGCACACCACACTCCGATCTAGTATACGTCGTGAAATGGTTCTTCGTGAAGCAGGTGAGGCGATAGTTTCCATGTGTGAGCCCAGGCGTTGAGTCAGCGCTTCGCTCGGCGAGCGTGTCCTCGTCTCCGCGGGTGACAAGGCCCGAATATTCGGCGAGAGATAAAATGTACACCCGTAGTTTTGGCTTTCAAGACTTAATGGATCGTTTACAAAATATCGAAACCGTCACCGGACTTAATCCATTCGTAAAAACTCCGGCGGTCTCATGCGTTCTGATCTGCGCGTCAAGATGTTGTAATTTTACTTTAGTACTTGTCGGTGTAGAACACAGATGTGTCATCAGAGCAGCGTAGTAAATGTTGCATTAGTTCTTAAAAATATTTTTAAAAACAAAAATGCAGACAGCTTTTAAAATATAGAATATGTTCTAACTATGCCTGAAACACTGAAAATATTTTAACATTAATTTGCAGACATTGATTGTAATACACAACTAAATACGTAACATTAGTTCTTAAGTATATAATATTTCCTTTAATAACATTTCAATGTCTTCTGT